CAGGTAAGATAGAAGCTGGTCTTGGCAGTCACTGTGTAGGGACAAGGTGTGTTGGCAGTGAATGCTTGGAAAGGGACGTTTTGGTGGGCAGTTGGGCTCCTTTTTGTTAAGAAGACATGCCATGTAAACATGCATAACTCAGATGTGCAATAAACCATCTCTTTGCCCAAGGCAGGATCAGTGTCAACCCTATTCACATCACCTAGGCAGATGTTTCATGTAATGTTGATCCTGCCGTAGGGCAGGAGTTGGACTAAGTGACCTCTGTAATTTCCTTCTAGCCTTGTATTCTGTGTGTGTGTCTGAATGCTGGGGCAGAGAGCTCCGTAGACCCTGCCCCAGAGGAACAGGAGAGCCCAGCGTGAAACATGAAAGTGTGTATAGACTGCTTCCTGCTGCTCACTTCCTCAGCTGGATACTTCCCCTACCCCGGGAGACACAGTCTGCTCTCAGAGGTGAGGGGAGTGCACATTCAGTAAGACACTTCATTTCTGATGGGTAGAAGCATCTGTGGAAGATTAACAGGGGCATGTTTGAGAGGAGAATATGAAAAGGAGATTAAATTTGCATACCAGCATGTTGGATGTGCTCCTAAGTGTGTTTCTCCTAACCTTGGGCTATCCCTAACCATAGTGTTCTGTCAGATGGATTTACTCCTTAAATAGCATAGACACCCCCATGCAATTGCAGTTAGATTGATAAATATAGGCTTCATGTAGTCTGCTCCCTACTAAGAGATCCTAATAGTACAACACACTTACAAGAGCCTATCTTTGCAAGGCAGTGCTTGGAGGGCAATATATAAAGTGCAGCTGAGAGACTGAAGGAATTTAAGATGTGGAAACTGGCTCCTGGTTCATCAACATAACTGAGCCATCTCAAACACGCCAGACTTGCCGCTTGTAGCATTTGAGTGTCAGTTCTGAAGGGTATGGGTTCAGAATTTCATGTTTACTTGCTATGCTAGACATACCACATCTTGAATCACAGCACGAGGTCCCCTGGTAGCGTTCCCGAGTCCTGTTCTCAGAGGAAAGAAACTCTGTTCGTCAACTGTTTGGGCGTTTGCTTTGGAAACCTTCCATCCAGATGATGTGACTCACTTTGCTGCTTGCAGGAGTTGGGATGGGTGTGTGTATGCTCAGTCACAGCAGAGCCTTGGAGATTGAGAGGAGGTAGGATTGTGGGAGGGTAAGAAAAGAATGAGGTAGCACTGGCTTTTAGTGGGCCTGGGAATATAGCGAGGGATGCTCTTTGAACTCTTAGTTAAGAGGTAGAAATAGTTGAAGAGATGGGTAAGAGGAGGAGGGCTGTCCCTGCTGAAGGGTGCCTGTGGATAGCGGGCGGATGTTCTTCATGCAGACAGGCCTTGGAACTGCTCAGTAACACATCTCCTAGTTCTTGGGATGGGCTGGGTCTTGGTGAAGGGTCAAGGTTTCTGGCCAGGTCTCTTCCTCCTTTAGATGCCTCTGCTGACCTGTGGCTGCTGCTGCAGTATGTAGGCATCCCAGAACTCCATTGTTCCAGCAGCATGTGTTACACCTGGGTGCTTGGTGTGTCCAGCCTGTGAGGGCGATGGCAGAGCGCTGCCCAGGTAAACCAGCCTGAAAGCGTTCTCCCTCAGAGCCAGGCCTGCTTGGGTGATGCATCTGTGGCTGCTGTTCTTTCTTACCTAATGCACTTGTGCTTTTAAGCTCAGAGACATTTCTTACCTCTCCCCTAAGGTCTGAGCTGCAGTAAGCTTGCATGTGAGCAAAAGAATGAACTTTTTAGCCTGGAATAATTGTGTTCTCTGTCGGTGACAGAATCTGTTTTGGTTGTTTTTTTCTTCTTTTAAAATGGCAATTTTATATCATAGAAAAGTTTTTAATTCTTCTGCAAGCTACATATAAAATATAACAGATAGGCAAAAATGTGTTATTAAAGCCATCTATTTTTCATGGCATTCCTGTAATTTAATAAACTGCTTAAGCCCCATTTCTGCACTGTGCGACATCATGAGAATAAATCCCGTCCTCTGATTAATAGCTATTCCATCAATCCCCCCTCCCCACATTATCTGAAGTGTAATGGGCTTGGGAACCACGCAAGCCAGGTTTGTATGAGTTTGGTTTGGGTAGCTGGGCTGAATGACTCTGGAAACGCTGCTCAGTGCCTGCCCATGAGGGTGGCTCTGCTCCAAAATAACCCAGGGACCTGCAGCTCTGACAAATGCTGGTTGCATTCTTCCAGTTTGCTGCTCCAGTAAGGAGAGTAAGGGTAGGATCCTCACCCAGGAGAGGGACATCTTCAGCAGGACTTACTGCTACTCACTGAGGAGCTCTGTGGTTCTCAGCAGCAGGGCAATACAGGGGCATATTTGAAAGGGGGAAAACTTGCATCTAAAGCTGGAAACTGCAGTGGCTTGTGGCCCATTCCAGCAGGTAATGAGCAGAGCAGGTCTAGAGAAGGAGTTGCTCAGGTGGGAGGTTGGTGTGGTGGTGGTGTCCATGCTCGTCGTACACTCGGGTTTTGTAAAGCTCCAAAGCTCTGCCTGGACCAGAGGTGCCCCTCGGCTGGCTCCGCTGTGGTCATCACCCTGCTGGGCCTGCAGTTCTGTCCTGTCTGTTTCCATGTGAGACTTAAAGACAGAAGAGCGTAACAGATTACTTTCAGCATTCCCAACTAGCTTTGGTTGTCTGAGAAGGATCTAGTGTGCAGTCAAGTAGAGGCCACAGTAGGACTTCTACATCCATTCTCTTCTGAGACTTTATTATAGGACTGTATAAATCTGCTCTCTAAAACCTCCATACATATGCGGAAGAATAGGACCACTGAAAGCATCTTTGTAATAAATTCATGAATGGTGAAGAGTCAACAAGAGTAAAATGGAAATGATCCCTTTTAAGAAGAGCTGCTTTTGGGAGACTTGTTAAATGCATGCAAGATGGGCAGTGCAGATCACAGCGATGCTGTGTCTTGGGTGCCCTTTGCTCCCAACATGCTGTCCTATGGCACTGGGTGTTACCTGTGGGACTCTCACTGTATGTGGCATGTTACAGGACTTCAGGGATTTTTGGAACAAATTCCTTGAGCCAGAGCAGTCCAGGTGGTTTCCATGGGTTTGGATCATTTGGTGAGTGAGCTGACTATGGAAAGGGAAGCATATTTCCTCTCGGGTGCCGTTATAGCTTGTTAGAGTGAAGGACTATCACTGATGCTTCTGCTTTCTCTTCCCAGGTTTGCTGCTGAGAGCGCAAACTTTAAGTCAGAAACACCTTCACACTTGAGTTTCCTGGCTGGGGAGACTGGGGGAGCAGTGCTGCTCCTCCACTAGGATGTGGTAGTGCAGCTCCAGCCTTGTGCAGGGAAGCTAGGGGCAGGAAATCTGACCCTGGCTCTGTCATCATCATGCAGCATTTGATAAGTTGGAGTGAGATTCAGATTTAGTTTCCCTGATGATATTCCAGCTGTTGAAGCATCTCATGGTGTGTCATGCGCTTCGCCTCGTAATCCTTTTCCTGGTAAAAAAGCCTGTTGCCACTGATCAAATGAGGGAGAAATCAGTGTACCACGGGCAAAGTCTTACCTACAGTGATGCTATGACTGAGCAGAAGACAAAAGTCTTGGCACTGTGGCTCAGCATGTTAATATCTGAAGTGTTTCTTATTTCCCTTTGTCTCAGCCTTTCTCCCTGCTCGTATTGACTGTATGAGCTATAGAGTGCTCTAGAAAATAACCAGCTGTTTCGTTAAGTGGATTTGGTCTATCCTTCAAGTTGACAGACGATTTTTACTATGTACTATTACTTAATGAACTCTTTTGTGGCAAATGTAATTCAATACAGATTCTGATTTCCAGTTTGTCATCAGTCCTTTTATAAAGGAAGAAAAATGGAAAAGGGCTTGATGATTCCTTTATCTTGTTATGCTAATTGCATTAGGAATATTGGAGAAAAACAGCCAGTGGATTTAACAGAAGAAAAATCCAATCTTCTATTCTACTTCAAGAAAATGGGAGTTTACTGGGGCAGAACGTGTCTGAATTCAGCCAAAGCAAATTCTGATCCAAGTTTAGGTTTTGAAAAACATAAGTAAATAATTATTTTGTTCTGTGAAATTCTTTTTGAAAGAAGCCTGCAACAGATATAATGGAGGATATGGATGAGTTACAAAAGATACAAGGTTGGGCCAGGGAGCAGCATGTGGCATCAGGTAGTAATGGGAGGTACTAGAAGGGAGTTGAAAAAGGGTCGAGTTCTGCATGCCTGCAGAGGTTAAGCGTGTTTGGTCCCATCAGCTCCTCCAGGACTGAATGGTGCTCTGCATCCTGTAGGACCTGTAGCTGTCTGTGATGTGCCCAGACTTCTGTTACACAGTGTAAAGAGTTAATTTCACATATCGATGTGTATGGGTGCGGTAATTTTAAGCAAAGTGTAAATCTCTGAATGTAAGAGCAGACTGATTTGCCTACTACTGGGTGTAGTGCTGGGTGATTGCGAGCTGTCAGATCCTGGTGACAGAGACCTTAATCACTAGTTTTAAGGCTGGGCGAGGCTGCTGTGGTGATTTGTTCTGACGTGTATCATGCAGGCTGTAGGATCCCATCTAATCACTCTTCTGCTTCTGACCCAGCAGCCTGTGGCTGAAATCCAGCAGACACACAGCCAGTGTCAGGCTCCAGAAGGTATTTTGCAGGGGCGAGGGCTCGCTGGCAAATGTTAGAGCCTGGAAATCCCTCAATTAAATAACCATGGAATATAGTTAATCGGGATTCTCCACACAAGGTTTATGGCTTGATCCTCTTTGATAGTAAAAAACAGGTTCCCATCTGGATTAGCGTTAGAGGTAATAACAGGAATGTGTCATACGTGGAGCTGCACCACCCAGCTACTGAATGTATTTGTGTTAATCTCTCTTTGACTATGCTACTGGAGTTGCTGCCTCTGAAATCTGCGGCCAAGACTCGTTTCTATCAACCATCGTTATTGCACCAACACTCAGTTCTAAACAGCTCAGGCATTTGTCATAAATAAAACATTTTTATTATTTGTATTCGTCTTCCAAACAACAAAAAAGCCCCTTTTTATTCTGTCATCCTAAGAAAAACCCATTTCAGATCAATTGTCATGCAGCTGTTCCGTGCTATATAAATCATAGGGGATTATTCGAGATGGAAATAGTCACTTTGGGGAAAACATGAAATCCTCATAGGACCCTAGGACTTAAACAGGTAGATAAGGGTGTTCTCTGGATACTGGGGTAGAAAACCAGGCTTCACTTAGAATTTTCCTGGGTTGTTGCTGGTAATGTAGTTGAGGTGAGGTGTCACAGCTCCTCCAGGCATGGCACCGAGCCTGAAACAGAAAACACAGTCAAGCTTCAGGGGTTGCATCTGATTCCCAAGTTACTGCTTTTCCCTCCTAATAATGGAACTCTTGGAGATCCTTTTTCTGGATGTGTGATGTGATTTCTGGAAAGGCGCTCTATGGGGGAGGTATGCAAGTATGTGCTGTTCCTGTCTGTCCCATAAGCATTTAACAGACTATGATGTACACAACTCGAATTTCCAGAGATTATTCTCCCAGACCTTTGGAATATGTTGATTTTTTAACTGCAGCCTTTATAGAAAGGCAGCAAAATGAATCCTTTAATTTCATTCTGACAGTGTCAAAATATTTGGGTTCCTGTCATGCTGAAGCATTTCTCTTTTTCAGTTAGTGTTTATACTTTTAATCCATAATATCGATTGGAAGTTGTAGGTGGCATCTCCTATAGCGCAGTGCTGCAGATTCTTTCACCCCACTTTAGTTACTGTGGTTTTACATCTCAATTATCTTGCTATTTAGACTTTAGTAAGTCTTGTCTTTGGTTTGGATTTGGAATTTGGTGGGAATGTAACTGTGAAACCCAACTGCTGAGTGAATCTTTAGCTCTGTGCAGGTTTACAGCAGCTAGCGCACACCCCTAAACACCAGGGAGCAAATCTGCATGGCCGTACCCTTGGGAAGGGGAAAACGGGAGTTGGATCCCATTGCCGGCCATCGGTGGCAGGTCCTGGATGCTGCTGTGCAGCGCGGCTGGGCTGATCTGCTGGTACGGATACAGCGGCGGGACCAGGGTGATGTAGTTCACTATGGGAGCGGGAGGTGGTGGGAACATCTGCTGTGGGCTGTACAGAGGTACCTGGGGAGGAAAGAGGAATAGGTTGCGGTTAGAAGCAAGAAGTGGGGCAGGAGCACTGATGAGGCAGGAAGGCCGCAAGTGCAAACTCGAGTTGTCAAAACTACTTTGTCACACGCACGCCGTGGTGTCTCCCCGTTTTATACAGAGCTGGAGCAGAAGCAGGAAGTGTTTTCAGTGAGGGGCTCAAGGCCTCTCGAGCTATTTGCAGCACACAGTGCTCCAGCAAACTGTTAACATCTCACACTTCAGCATCTCGTCCCCAAATCTGTTTTTGCAGTGGTAGCGACGTCAGTCCTGACACATGAGAAACTGCTCTGGCTTCTCTTGTGCTCAGCCTCTGCGCTCTGCAGATTAAAGCATGTTCATAGGCACTGAGACGTACCTGTCCCGAGTAGCATGCGAAGGAGGGGTGCAGAGCTTGCTGGAATGGGATCCTCACTCTTGGATACAGACCCTGTTAAGCAGATACGAGACATGATTTCTAAACTAGTCTTGAGTGGGTCCATGAATGACTTGTGTGTGAGCTTTTTATGGGGACGTTATGCTCAGAGGTAAGTGTATTTCCTAGCTTTGGGCAAAAGTCTCCTAAGTCTGAGCCCTCCAGAGTAAGGGTCTGCTTCCTGCTCCCCGTTCTGCCTTTGGATGTATCCAGTTCGCAGGTGACTGCTGGGAGGTGGATGGGTTGGGTGCGTGTCCTCTGCTGAATAGGTATCTGCTGTGCCAACTACTCATTGACTTAAGGGAGAAAGGAAAATTCTTGGACTCCCTTGGATTCAGGGGAGCTCCATCTGGGAAAATGTGTGCCCACTCTGTGTCTCTTTGGTGACAGCTTCTGACAGCTGTGGGATGAGCAGAGGGTGTCAAAGGGAACAAGGGGAGCACAGCCCAGGGAAAGCTGTGGCTGCATGGTTATTACCAGAGAAACCTTTGTAATAAATTATGTTAAAATATTTGCAAGTCAAGGGGCAAACGATTTGTAAATAAAGGGCTCGAAACCGTAGAAGATGCAAGTGTTGGTCAGTAAAAAGATGCAAAAGGGAACTGGTGAAGGTGGAGAGGTGTGGGGCTGTTCTGCTCTTCTCACAAAATGTGGGTCACTTTTGTTTACCTGGAACTGTGGAAAGTGGTTGGGAAAGATGGGAAATAGAGGGAAGCTCAGACTCTGCCACACCGGCTGGTTCAGTCCCGTGATCCCTGAAGCAGTAATAAAGCCTGAAGTACTGGCGTTGTATTTAACACCTCTCTTATCCGATGTTCCAGTAGTCACTGTAAAACAAAACAAGGTTAAAGCTGTTAATAAACATGCGTTCTCTTCATGCGTTCGTAGAACATTTGCAGTTCCGAGGACGCGATTTGCCTCTAAGCAACATCTAAGCTGCCTGCCGCTTTGCGGGCTGTAGTTCTGCGACACGATGCCCCAAACTCAGCAATGAGTGGTGCAAGTTCACTTCTTGGGGGCTGTTGTATTGTGACCCACAGGAGCTGGACTAAAGCCAATTGCCTGAGCCATGACAGCAAATCACGTTGCGAGGACAGAACAGGAACATTTGCCTACGGTTCAGAACTCATAGATAAGAATATTGCAACAGAGACAGAGAATAGCTTTGATTGTGTCTCATTACTGTAGCCGAGAAACTTAAACAGTAGATCTGGACACGGACCACTGTTTTTCCTGTTCTAAGGTGCTTTAAGGAATGTAGTTATTGATGCTACATTCAGGGTCTTTTAAATGTCGGGATACTACAGTCGGGATCTTTTAAATGTCTCACAATAGGAACCCAAAAGTCATGACATAAAAAAGGAACCCCAAACAAAATAAACCCTAACAAACCCCCTGAAAAAAGTCAGAAACAGCACCTCCCCCCAGAAAATAACACTGACCCCAAAACTGTGCTGTGAGCCCCAAAACAGGCCTCTAGGATGGGCAAAATCTCTATAATCATGATCTTCCTATTTCCACTCTGTTTCAGTGTGTGAGAAGGACACTGGATAGGTGCTGGTTAGAGGGCAGGGAGATGGTTTAATATAGGGATTCTCGGATGGAATGAGCATTGGGCATATTTTCAGCCTCTTGCATGAGGCTTAGGAAAGGCATTGCTATAGGGCAGCTTGTGCTTCATGCCTTAGTTTTCCCATGACTCCCAGGTGATGTTCAGGGACCATGCCCAGATTCATACCTGCATTCTTGGTGACTGCATCGAAACTGGTTTGGGGGCAAGTCTTGGCAAGCTGTGGGAGCTGCTCCTTTTGTCCTGGGGCTTCGCTTTCTGCTGTTGATGACGCAGCTGTAGTGCTCTTGGCAGGGCAGACTTCCTTCACCACCTTAGTTTCCTCAGCCACTGCCTGGCTGCCTGTGCCTTTGGCTGTGTCTGTGTCCTTCAGTACCAGTGGCACCTCCAGCTTGCTGCTCTCTGTGCTGCCGGTGCCTGTCACGTTGCGATCCTCCAGCCCCTTGGAGTTCTTGTGGGACTTTGCTGGGCACAGAAAGCCGGTGATAACGGACTTAGCAGAAAGCTGAGCATCACAGAGAGCTTTTAATTTCATCTCCCGTTCTTTTTTTCCAATCATTGCCGTGTATATGCTTTCAAGTCCCTCTGGTTCATTTAGCAAGTAGTTGCTGTAAGAAAGTGGAATATGGCTGTTGTTAAAGGAGGTTTGACTAAAAACTGAGTCTGAGTAAGATTCCTAAGCCTTACATTTCTCGAGTGTTCTATGTAAGATTCAGGTGTTCCTTTTCAACCAGAATAAAGTTCACCTTTCTCACTGTGCCCTGACTGTAGTTGGGGAGAGTTGAGGTAACAACTACACTTGTTTCCCTTTGGCCACTGATGCTATTGCAGCTGATGAATTGGGTACCAGCTTTAGTGACAGTATATACTGAAAGCTGCTTCTTAATTTGTCTTTCCCTAAGTTTTTCAGGAGTAGTAGAGGTAGTCAGAGTACTACTCCAAGGGAGCAAACTGACTTTATGGCTGTCTCACTGGAATTGCCTTTATTCTAAAGCATTTCCTTGAGCTTGGTAGTCATTTGGTACATTTTTAGCATTCCAGCTTGGCTGTTGGTGGAAGGTGCAGTGTCTGGGGTCTGTGAGCAAGTGATGATCATTGTGCCCTGCTGTAGAGTGTGTGTGCAGAGGGCACTTCTGCTGGCTAATGACAGAAAGCTCTGCTCCGTGAAGTGCCCTCAGGAGCTGCCAGAGGTAACTGAGCTCAGTGGGTGGGTAGAGGAGCGTTACTCTGAGCTCACGGATGGTACTTCACCCATGGACTTTGCTGTCTTTTTAATTTCATCTAAACCGAAGCTGCTGGGTTTGTCTCTGGTCTTTGTGCTTGCCTTAGTCCCTGCCTTCATTGCAGGGATCCCAAGGTTCATAACTTACATTGAAGTAGTAAAACAAAATCTGTTTTCATCTGCTGTCTGCCCACTTGCACTTGCTTGTAATTGCATGTTGAGTGGGCCAGAAGTTACGTTGGTGAAGCTGGCCATTAGACTGACTGCTAAAGACCAGATCTGTATTGCTTTAAGAGCAAAATGTTTTAAATGATGCTATTAGGAACGTTGGTATGCGATAGTCCTTCACTGGTCTGTATGATGTTGTCTTTCCTAAGACAATCTGTGGCTGACGAGCATGTGCTAATTGTGAAGATACTTCAGCTGTGTAATTTAACCTACCACTATAGGCATCTCCATGGGCTTCCTGGTGGTTCTGCAGTTACCCATTTTCCCTTTTCCTGTATTTATTCTGGAGACTGTTAACATCTCAGCTTATTTAGGATACGGAGGAGAAAGGGAAGGAGCCAGTACTCCAAGCTGTGATTCCTGGTTTCTGCCTGACATCACTGTACGTACTTCCCTTTCCGTGTCTCCTTGTCTCCTCTATGAAATGATGTATTTCCCCAGCAGTGAAGCTAGTTATGTTAAATGACCATTTACACCCCTTCATGTACCAGGCGAGGTGGGTCAGGCCCACATGCTGTTTGTGTGGATGGTAGGAACTGGACATGTGCTAAAGCTTTGCTGGGTTTATAAATGTTTCTGTTTCGGGAGCCCACAGTAAATACTGTGCCACTACTGTGAAGAGCACGCTTCCCTCTTACCATTATTTGTCCTGTGAAACATGATTTGGCATAAATTTTTCAGTGCTAAATCCAGCTTTTCTTTGTAAAGATCAGCTGTTTACAGTAGCTTCCTTATAACACTTTAATTTTCGATTTTGCTCCTTTGAATGCTGCTTTCACTTCTTCCTGTAAATATTTTGATGTGTGGTTGGTTTTCTTTAAATGTGGTGGGGAAGTGAATGCAGCAGCTGCTTTATGGTGCTTCAGAATTTGAAGTAGTCAGATTTCATGGGGCATGCTTCCCCCCCCCCCCCCCCCCAAAGAATATTTGTTATAGTGGAAAGGAAAAGGGAATAACTTGCCTGACGAGGGGGCAGTCAGTGTAGGCTGTGCCCCAGGCTTTTGTTTCAACAGGTTGCAACAGCCTGCTTTGCAAAGGTGCAGAGAGGAAGGGAGCAGATTGTTCTGCTGGAGCCTGGGCACCGCTTGAAGGGCACTTACTTGCTCTGGGATGTGGTGGTGTCTGTCCACGGGCTCTCCAGCAGCTCTGAGCAGAGCCCATGCTGCAGCGGGGCCACCAGCAATGGTGCCTGCAGCTGCTCAGGCAGTCGTTGGACGCGCTTCCAGATCTCATGGCAAGTCTCATCCAAGCCATCCTGGGGAGTGTTACTGTGGATCCAGATGTGCCTCGGGAAGGGTCCCAGTGGGAACGGGCCCTCTGATATTTCTGCTGAAGCTGAAAAGCTGTTCCTGCCAGGGAGCATCCTTCAGCCTCTTGCATCCACAACGGTCTCTCTGGAGGAGGTGCTTTGTGTTGGTTCTGCCGAGCCATGGCAACCGCGGAACCTTGGGGCTGGGCAGCTGGAGGAGCGCTGCAGCTGGAAGCAGCCGGGGTCCCTTGCAGCCCCGGGACAGGGCTGTGTCCTTCAGCACGGCTGAGAGCCTTCGCTGGCAGAAACAGGCTCCAGTGTTCAGGGTTCAGCTGCGCCTGAGCTCCCGACCGCTCCTGCTGTGTCTGCAGGTGGCTTGAGCCTTGTGGAGCTCGGAACCAAGGACTGTTCCTCTGCCCTTTTCACTTCTTTTGCCCTCAGTCCCTTATCTTCCCCCTGGCCGGAGGTGATGAGCAGAGGCCTTGTGCGAGGGAAGCGATGCAGACGGCGAGGGTGTTCTCCTTAGTATTTACTCTTATTTTGCCATAGCGCAAAGAGGAGAAGCAGCATCCTTGTGTCTGGCCCATCTAGTACCATATTCCATCCCTTTAGTCCCCATGTAAGCTCTTCTTTTCACTGCCATGGAAAAAGAACTTAGTATTGGACCTTGCTTATTTTTCAGCATCATGGATATGGGATTTTGCTTTGGGTACAGATTCTTTTTGACATCCTCTGTGGCATTTTGCGTGCTGGGCTAAAAAACTTGAGCTCAGTGTGAAAATACAAGGCAAAGTATCTTTCTAAATATCAAAGATAGGTGCGCACCCTCAGATACAGCACTATATTTTTTGCTACCGAAAAACGTTACACTGTACACTGAGGTCTTGGCTCTGTGCTGAACTCTTTTCAGAGAATCCAGAACTGGACTCTCCTGTCATGTAAGTTAAATGGTGACTGGAGTTCCTTGCTAATAAAGGCATTATTCATAGCTATCCCTTAACTCACGGTTATGCCTGGATAAATGTTCTTTTCCCCCTAATAGTGATAAAATGTGGTTAAGAGAGAGCGAATGAAATTAATTGTGTGGCATTTGGCAGGATGGCTTTTGGGTGGTGCCCCCAATACCAAATTACTAATTCCAGTACTTAAAATTGTATGGAACAGGATCATGGTCCCAGTGCCCTCTATGGTTCCCCCTGTCACCACAGTGGTTGCGGTGATGAGCCAGAGCACTTGTTTGTGGTCTTTGGGGCATGATGCATGCAGGAATGCTCTGTGGATTAACCTGGAACTCGGGCATGCTGCAGCTGCTGCCATTTATTTCCTTTGGAGGAATCACGGAGCAGCTCGGGCTGTTTTGGCAGGGAGGGTGAGGGTCTGTGGGAAAAACGGAATGTAAAGAGGCTGGCTGAATACCTGCAGAGGATGTGGAGGCAGCAGCGAGGGACCAGAGTCCCCTTGGCCGAGCTGTGACTGCGGGTGGCAGTGCGGAGCAGACCTCGGTGCTTGCACTGAAGGCAGGATTTGATTTCCCTTTTAGCATGGGTGATTCTGCAGGGTGAGAAGCTGAGGGAGCGGCAGGGGTTAGAAATGGGCTGTGGACCAGCACATGCAAGTGCCTCCTTGTTAGGGATGAGTTTAATCAAAGGAGTCGGTGATTGGTTCCTGTTGCATTCATCACTCTTGTCTATTCAGCAAATACAGTATTTTTGGGAGGGAGTTAGACCCTAAATCGTGGTGGTTTTGAGGAAGGAACTTACTTGGGAGGAAACTCTGGATTTGAAATAGGTATGATTATATGAACTGGGCATAAAGTGGGATTGTATCTCCTCAATGATGTTATTATGCCCGCAGATTGTTCCTGATGCAGGGCTGACTTTGGCTCAGCCCGTACCCTGCGGATGCGCAGCAACCAAGTCACATCTTCAGCTGAATGCAATATTGGGATGGGGGGATTCTTTAAGGAGAAGGGCTGTATAAGGGAGAACCAGTGTATGGAGCTGTGAAGTGTGGTACCCTGGTCTCTGATCCTTTTGTGTTTGGATCTGTGCCTTTGAACAATAAGGTCTATTTGAATAGGATACTGCAGTTTAAACAGACATAAAGCAACTCTTTCATGTAACAGCCCTGGTTGCCTTGGCTCTTGGCATCGGTTCACAATGTAGGCAGTGGAAGGATTGAAATGCAGAGGGGACCTAGCGAAAGTGAGGGAGAGAGGATTGATTTGAGGGTGGAGGGACAGGTTTGCAAGCCCTCGATATAATTTGGGTTGTAGCTGTCAAATAAGCTCATTCAGGGCAGCCGGAACAAGGCTGGAGGGGGGTTTGCAGCAAGGAACCGCAGCAAACGCAAAGCGCTGAGGCAGGGGGATGGGTGGGGAGCATGGGGTGAGCTGGGTGCTGGGCGGCTCAGCACCAGGTCCTGCTCCTGGCTCCTGGTGCTGGGCTCCTCTGCTGCCCTGCCTCGGCAGCCTCCCAGGGCAAGGCAGGGGGAAGAGGAGGGGGTCTCGCTCTGGAACCCCCCCTTGTCTGCTGGCAGGACTGCTGGTTTTGGGAGAGGGCCTGCTCCTTGTCTGTGCATCAGAGGGGAAGCACAGGAGCAGCTTCTGGCCGAGGTGGGGGAGGATATTGGAGGGTATCTCTTACATTTATTCTTTTTCTTAAAGCTTTGCTGTCACATTTGACTTATTTTTCTCATCCACAGAACTGAGCATCATTACCAAGATAATTAAGTTCCTGAATGTGCCTTTAGCAGACAGCATTTTTCCCCATCTTGCATGTAGCTGCAGAGACAAATGTACTAAGAGATGCTTAAATAAAAAGGGGGGTGGTGGAGAAATACCCCTCTCGCCCCTTCTGTGGGGGCAGCAGCACCATGGCCAAGCATGCCTGTTGGCTCAGGGGCCAGCACAGCCTTTTTCACCTCCAGAACACCTCCTGACCCACTCCCACCATTGCCAGGGCATTGCTGGATCCATGCTGTGAGGACCACTTGCAGACTGGGGGTGTTAAAATGGCTCTTTCTTGATGTCTCTTGTGTTTGTAGCAAAATTTGCTTCATCACAAAAATAGTGTCAATACCATCAAGTTGTTTACAGAGCACGGAGGAGGGATGGGGGGTGCCGGGAGCCTGTGTTGCTCTCGCAGATGTCTTAATAGCAGCGATGCTGCGTGTCTGTGTGTGTACATATGCATGCCACGCTCTGATCCAGGCAAAATGGGGGGCTCTGGGACTGGTTCCTACCCGAGAAACCTGTAGTGTGCCTTCCACATAAGCACGGTGCTAAAGCCTAATGTGGGGCTTGTTGATGTGGGTAGGGTGGGTGCTGGTGGGAGGATTGTGCCGGGTCTGGGGAAGCCAAACGGAGGCAGATCTGTTGGGTGGCTGCAGAGCAGCCCCTCGCAACAGCCGTGCCCTCTCCCCTCCCCAGCATTTAGTGAAGAGGAGAGCAAAGATACGGGAATGATTAATCAACTGGCTAATAAAAAAGTATAAATCCCTGGGGACTGTGTGCTGCTAATGCCGAGGAGCTGGCTCGGAGACAGCCACCGGGAGGGACGAGCCAGCCCTCCTCTCCTTGCCTTGCCTCTCCTCTCCTCTCCCCGAGCTGCTGCCACACTTGGTTCATTCCAGCTGCAGCAGCTCAGAGCCTTCCATGCGGTGGGATTTTTTTTTCCTGGGCTGAAAAAAAATCAAAAAAAAGAATATTCCCAAGCCTGACCTGTTTTCCCCCCCTTTTCCCTTTCTCCTCTCCATCCAGCCGAGCCGAGGACTAGCCCAGAGCCAAGGGGAAGAAAAAGGGGGGAAAACCCAACAGCAGCCAACCCCCAGCACGCCCCATTCCTGCTGCCCTTTGACATGCAACCTTCCTTGGGATGGGACGAGCCGGGATGCAGCTGCAGCTTCGGAGAGAACTGGGGGAAATTGGGGATCTTTGCTGTCATGACGGTGGAGCTGAGCTCCTGGAGCCGGGTGCTGCTGCTCTCCGTGGGGCTGCTGACGGTCTCGGTCACTGGTAAGTGGAATGCAGAAAGCTGGCAACTTTAGGGGCATTTTCCCTCCTGCTCCTTAGATCAAAGGAGCACTGTTAATCCTCTTTGGAGGTGGGGGGGGATGACTGTGTGTGTGCATACACTTGTGTGGCAGCACATGCTTCCCTGTCGTGTTCAATAAGGAGGATGTTTTCTTCAGACCTTTGTAGCTCTGTGCAAGATAGTTTCCTTCTGCAGCCCTTGGGAGCAACAATTTCAAGTGATGGGGTAATAGAAGGTGGCTTTATTTGATTGCATTCCGCTGCTCTGGTGGGTCAAATCACTTGTGCACAGTTGCTGTATGATATGGAAGATGACTGTGAAAAATGCCTTCACGGTTTCTCCCTCCCTCTTTTCCTTGCATCTTAATTCAGTGTTTGTCCATAGCTGATAAAAAAGGTTTAGAATGCCTTGCATGAAGATGCAAACACTTTTCTCTTATTCCTCCTGCCCTTATGTTGATTGTCTCTTATATGAGCTCTTTGACCTCAGCATCATGTTTTTGTGAAACAGGCATATATTGACTGGAAAGATAGCAAGAGAAGACTTGAATTTGGGGGGGGGGGGGGGGGGTGCTTATGGCTCCTCCCTGGTTTCTGCAATTGCCCTTGTAGCAAAAGCCTATCTAAGGACTGAAGTTTTTCTGGTGTAAACAGCAAATATTTAGGGACTGTCCTGTGTGTAGGAGGGGGACGAGTGGGAGAGCTGCGTGTTGTCAGCGTCTGCTTCCAGCACTGTGCCGTGCCCCGGTTTCCCAGAGTTTCTAAGTAACGTTTGTCTTGTGTGCTGTCTCTAGGCTGGAGGAATGCGTGTTTGTGTTGATGTGTGTGAAGGCTTCGTGGGCTTGGGGTTTCTGGGAAAACTTTATCTGGAATGGAGCACTGATGCTATGGTGTCGGGCAGATCCAGGGTAAGCATTAACTGCTCCTCCGGGGACCCTTGCAGTGGACCCAAAGAGTTTTGCTAACTGGAGGTGTCTGTTAGCAAGGAGTATAAAACCCCCCAAAAACCTGCAGGTCCCACTTAAGGATGAGTATTTACTTTGGTGAGTATTTTTCCTTCAGCAGGAGCATTTACCCTTTGCACAAGAGAGGACCATTCCAGCAGCTTCTGTTGTGCTCTTCTGGTACAAGTAGACGGATGCAGAGATACCTCAATACATGATTCACTATATCAGGGGTTTACAGCTTCTCTACTTCTTATAAGCTGCCTGTAGCTTGTTTGTACTAGGTCTTGCAGGCTCCTTTCTGTATGCTTGCCCAGGATATAATCCGTTCTTCCCAGGCCCCTAGCTCCTCCATTCTCTCTGCATTTAGAGTGCTCTCTGTTCTGGATCCTTCACCTGCAGCTTGGTGCTCAGCGTTTTTCTGTGTGAGGAGGTGATCATCTACAAAAGCCTTTTAGACCTCAGATGTTTGTTTGCATCAGAGCTGCAGACACTGGTCGATAGCTTCCCTTTTAAAACAAATTCTGAAATCCTGTAATGATCTTTTTGTCAAAGCAAGAAACCAACTTTGAAATCA